GCCTCAGTCTTTACTGCTGAGGCCAGCCCTCAGTAAACTCAGACACTGGAGGTAAGAGAAGAAGGCTGGAGAAAGGAAGACTTCCCCTTGGCTGCAGAGGGTTGGGTAGAGATTGGCGAGGCAGATATAATGCCATAAATCCACGGGCCCTGATGGGATGCACCCGAAGGTGCTGAGGGAGGTGGCAGATGTTGCTGCTAAAGCACTCTCCATCATCTTTGAAAAATCATGGAGAACATGAGAGGTGCCGACGACCAGAGAAAAGCCAGTGTTACTTCCCATTCAAAAAGGGCAAGAAGGAGGACCCGGGAAACCACAGGCAAATCAGTCTGACCCCAGTCCCTGGCAAGGTGATGGAACAGATCATTCTGGAGGTCATCCCAAAGCATGTAGAAGACAAGAAGGTCATCAGGAATAGTCAGCATGGATTCACAGAGGGGAAATCCTGCTTGACCAATCTGATAGCCTTCTGCGATGGCACGGCAGGAGGGGTCGATGAGGGCATGTTGTCTACCTTGACTTCAGGCTTTCGACACTCCTCCCACAACATCCTCATAGGTAAGCTCAGGACACGTGGGTTAGATGAACAGACAGGCGGATCAAGAACTGTCTAATGGCAGAGCTCAGAATGTTGTGATGAGTGGAGCAGAATCCAGTTGGGATCCCCAGGGATCAACACTGGGTCCAGCCTTATTCAACTTCTTTATTAACAGCCTGGATGAAGGGATTGAGTGCACCCTCAGCAAGTTTGCTGATGACATTAAACTGGGGCCAGTGGCTGATACACCTAAAGGCCATGCTGCATTCAGTGGGACCTTGATAGGCTGGAGAGCTGGGTAGAGAGAAACCTAATGAGGTTCAACAAGGCCAAGTTTACAGTCCTGCACCTGGGGAGGAATAACCCCAAGTACCAATACAGCTGGAGACTGACCAGTCCCAGAGCAGCTCTGCAGAGAAGGACCTGGGAGTCTTGGTGGATGACAAATTGACAGCTGTGAGCCCTTGCAGCCAGGAGGGCCAGTGGTATCCTGGGGTTCATTGGGAAGTGTTACCAGCAGGCTGAGAGAGGTGATCCTGCTTCTCTACTCGGCCCTAGCGAGGCCACATCTGGAGTGCCGTGTCCAGTTCTGGGCTTTTCAGTACCAGAGAGACATGGAGGTACTGTAGAGAGTCCAGTGGAGGGCCACAATGATGATCAGGGGTCTGGAGCATCTCTCTTACGAGGAGAGACTGTGGAAGCTGGGTCACTTTAGTCTGGAGAAGTGAAGACTGAGAGGGGATCTCATTAATACATACAAATCTCTCAAAGGTGGATCTTAAAAGGTCGTGCCAGACTCTTTGGTGGCGCCCAGTGACAGGACATGGAGCAATGACCATAAACTAAAAGACAAGAAGTTTCCACTGTAACACGAAGAGGAATTTTTTACAGGTGGCAGAGGGTGGCAGAGCACTGGAACAGGTTGTTCAGGGAGGCTGTGGAGTCTCCCTCTTTGGAGACATTCAAAACCCGCCTGGATGTGTTCCTATGTCACCTGCTCTAGGTGATCCTGCCTTGGCAGGGAGTTTGGACTATTGTTAGGGTTGTAATGGACCTTAAATATCATCTATTTCCAATCCCTCTGTCCTGAGCGGGAACACCTTCCACTAGACTGGTTTGCTCAGAACCCCATCTAACCTTAGCCTTGGGCATTTCTAGAGTCTCTGTGGCTGACTTATAAAGTGAGCTCCTATTAATCAGCTATCTGTGAGTGTCTAACTCCTGTGCTGTTTTTGTCCCTTGCAGACATCACCATTGGCAACACCTACCCACTGGGCTCTATAAAAAGAACAAGAAGCCCTTGCCTTCTGTTGAAGTATTGTGGAGTACTCCCTTTATCCCTTCACTTTTCCCAAAGTCTCATTTAAGTCAAAAGAAGTGTACAAGAGGGCAGAGATGGCATCTTGACTACCAAGTATGAAAAATAGAATAAGAACCATGGCTTAGATAATGTATGTGTGAGAGTTGGGTAATGGAGAAAAGAAAAATTATTGGTTTTCACAAGGGGAGCCTGACAAGAACAACAATGCGGTGGTATAGTCATGAGGGCTGTGTGAAGGTGGCATGAAGGTCTATCTGAAGCCACTTAGTGTAGTGAAGGCAAGCAGCATTTTCTTGCACTTTTGGAGACTGAGATGAGATTTAATCAGAGAATACATGGGCCACAGAAGCACAGTCAGGGTCTTGGATTTTACTCACTTTCTGGATTGAAAAAGGTTCTGGGAAACCAGACCCTTGACATGAAGCACGCATGCACAGGAGAGGGGTATCACTTACATAACGGCAAAGATTGCACCTGTCCAGGCCAGGAGCAGCTAGTTACGCCAGGAGAATGCTGTGAAAGGCGGTATCAGAGGCTTTACTGAAGTCTGAGTAGACAACATCCAGAGCCTTTTTCTCATCCATTAACCAGGACACCTTGTCATAGAAGGAGATCAGGTAGATCAAGCAGGACCTGGGACCTGACTTTCACAAACCTATGCTGACTGGGCTTGATCTTCTAGTTGTCTGCACTTGCGACATGTTGACGATCCAGAAGGTCTGCTCCATGACCTTCCCTGGCACTGAGGTCAGGCCAACAGGCCTGTAGTTCCCCAGATCCTCCTTCCAGCCTTTCCTGTAGATGGGCATCACATTTGCTAACATCCAGTTTTCTGGGACTTCTTCGGTTAGCTAGGACTGCTGGTAAATAATGCAGAGTGGCTTGGTGAAGTCTTTTACCAGCTCCTGCAGTACCCATCCTGTCATGAAACTCTACCGGTAAACTTCTTTCCCCACCTATGCCTTTTTATTGTTGGTTTAAATCACAAATGTGATTGAAATGCCCAACTCACATTTGGGATGTCTGTGTGGAAGTTTTCAGAAACAAAAGATCAGAGGTTTTCAAAGAGCAGCCTGCACTTCTATAAATGCCTTCTATCTCCAGAATGAACCAAAGCAGTTAGATAGCTTTGTGTCTGCCTGTGACTAAACTGTGGGCTCACTGGTGTTCTCTTAAGGCAGGCAAGGAGAGGCAGTCACCATGTGAGGTTTGTCAAGGAATCCGTAGAAACTTTCTGTTCTATCAGCAAAACTATTCTTGCTCAGACAAGGCTAATGATTTCCACAGTAACTGTTACCCCTGGATTCTGTACAGCTTCTGAAAAAAACCTCAAACTAATAAGAAAGCACAGAAACTACTTATATTTGCTTCTTCAAAGCATGTACTCTGTCAAATATGTAAAACTTGCCTACCTTTGTAAGAGGAAAAACCAGAGAATGAACAGTTAACGATTGCATTGCAAGTTTTTCTGTCCTTTGGGCAATACTGGTAAGAAAACATACCCAATGAGAAAGTATCAAGGCATAGTGGAAAAATGCTACCAGCTGTTAGAGGGCTACTAAAGACTCTCGTTATGTGTGGCTAAACACAGAGAGAATTAAATGATGGAGTGTATGAGAATAACTGCATGGAGTGTGAGGCAAGGAAACACTGATTCATAACCAGGGTTCTCTAGTAACATTTCACTAAGTGTTGCAACTGCAAGATCCCTTGATAAGGTCTGAGAGTTGCAGGCAGCACCACTTTTCGTGGTGTCTTGGATATAAGTTACCACCAGTTTATCAGCAGATCAATCTCTCTGTAATCTCTGCTGCAGGT